TCAGTTTTGCCCCCCAAAATTACAATGATATAGTTTTCAAAATGATAATATGGCATAGCATCATATCACTGTTCTTCAATTGTCAGTTCAAACTAATATTTACACTGAATCTTATGTAAAATTAAAAGCCATCATAAGCTGCCTCTCCAGTTATCTGTACATGACAATAGTAAATGTTATCACCTTCAATATTTTCCTAACAATGGCTAATCTGTAATATTAATTTTCCTGTTGTTCTGGATTTGTTTACCACTACTAAAGTAACTAACTGTTGATATGTTTAAACATACAGGTCAACTTCAAACAATTTTTCTTGACAGTCACACTATTCGTTCTCTACATTAATCAGTGAAGCTGGCTATCCTATAAGTGGTAGTTGCCATCTATTGTTTTAAAGAGTAAAACTGTCCTGCTACATGCCTCAGAAGCACTTGCAGGAAGAGAAGGTATAGGTCCTAAATTAAATTATTTAATGGTGAATATTCCTTATTATGCAATGTTCTCAAGTAAGAAACAAATCAATGGTACACATATAGAACCCACTTTCTTCCCTACAACCACCACAAGCAACGACTGTGGAGTCCAAGTCTATTCTTATGCTTTGCTGACAGTACAAAAGATAGACTGACATTTCTTTAACAGAACTGATGTGATAGAGAAAGTAGGACCAGTCATTCAGCAAGTTTTCTAAATTAACTTATTACCTGGACATGTGTCTGTATTTGTATGGGCACTTTAGAAGCCCGTGTATCTACGTCATTAAGCCCACAGGTTTTCAGTGTGAACTTTCTGAATCTGGCTGTTCATAGGACAATACATAACCTCTCTATAACATAAAATTATAATGAAACGAATTTCAAATAATCGTATACCATAGGATATTCCCTGCATTTATATAGAAAAAAAGGGGTTTGTAATTTTTAATTAAAGCGAATGAATGTTTTTACTCCATCCACAATACGGTTGTAAATTATGTACATTACAGAAAACAATAGTGCCCCAGAGAAAAAATAAACCTCACATTTTATAAGCACTATCCCGTCACAAGTGTTTAATTATACAGTAGGCAGTGAATATTCTTGTTCCAAAGTGTACTGGATAAATCGAAATTTTAGTTGTAAATAAAATGTTATCATATTTTAATATCGATGGAGGTCAATGCCTCTGTTAATTATAGGAATCTGTATTTATCCAAGGGTGAGTTTGTAATTCATGAATATCCATGTATATATAAGCCTTTTTACTTGTAGTCTGCACATGTAGAGAAGTGTTACCCACCATAATTTCACTCTAATATTGCTGACTTAAGAACAAATGAAATAGAAAAGAGTATTGGAAAAAGAATTATGTCAACAAGAGAACAGACATTACATGAATTCAGAATTTCATATTAAGTACTATGAATCAAATAAAATTTTAGGTGCTTTATTTTGTTGTCAATATGTAGCAAGGGCAACACAACTGGCTAAGAAAGATGCTGGCCTCATAGCTTTACTGGCAACTTCACTAAACAATGCAAAACCTCTATTTGGTTTCCACTTTAAAATAGAACATTTATATATAATTTCCCCATTCTTGAAGTTTCATAACAATATTGTTTTCAGTTTTTCACAGATGGGGAAACTTCCATAAAAGTGAATATCCACAGTAACTAAAGTGACATTTACATGTGAATTAATGATCTCAACTTTACATTTGAAATATTTAAATTGTGCACACAGAACCTCAGAAGCATGAGGCCTGTAGAAAGTAAGGACATAGTAGTGAACAGTATGGTCACCAAATGATTACTAGTAAGTAATATTCTTCTAACAATATACTGCATCAAATTGTGAGTTCTCAAGCTGAAGTGTTTGAAAATGTGAAGCAAGGAATGCACACATGCATTAAACCAACAGTGCATGTAAAAGATCTTATTTCTAAGGTATGTGTTTTCTTATGAAATTTGTAAAAAAGTGGAGTAGATACTTCCAGTCCAAACAACAACAGGGACAGACATTTCAAGTTTATACATGGTAAAAGTGAGATGAAAGTGGATGCAGCAAGTCACAGTGTCAGCCAACATCGTGAAACTCCTGGAAAGCCAAAGTTAGTAGGTATTCCTCACCATAATTCTCCTAAAAATGGGGTGTCACTGAACTCAACTATATAATATTTAAGTGTTTTTGCTGTACAGTAGTGATTTCAGGTACTTATGACTTGGTTTATACAACTGGATAATAAGTAGGAATTCACAAAAGCAGTAACATTCTGTGTCACAGTGTTCACTACACTGTTACATGACCATTGCTCATACCATGTCTATGATGGAAAATCATTATTTTGGACAGTAGTATTGATCACAGCCTGTGCAGGGCTTATGTTCACTGCCCTTCCTCCCAGCCCCCCTTTAAGATAACATGTTAAATGACATGGACAATAATATGCATTCTTTATACTACAAGTCCTTTAGAATGAGAGAAATTTGTATATCTGATAAGATGCTAAAGCATACTAATGGAAATTTATTATTGAATTATACTGAATTTAAACCAAAAATGGAGATTTTATATAAGACTGCCCGTAGACTGGATTCACTGACCAATCATTATGTGTGTTTCATACAGAACAACTAGAAGTTAAGTTTGCCATAATTTGCAGTGTCTTACAATTTCAGGTAAGGAATAATTGTCTTATTATCAGGTTTGAAGAAAATAAGCAGATTAATGAATTGCCCAGACCTGGTCCTTCAGCTATTCAACAGCCCCAGGACAGCCAGACCAGTAACAGGCCACATGTGTGTGACGTATGTGGGAAGGGCTTTCTGCTGCGAAGCAATCTCAAGCAGCACATGTTGGTGCACACAGGCATTAAACCCCATGTATGTTCAGAATGTGGAAAGGGCTTCACACAACTCAGCAATCTCAAGACACACTCCATAGTGCACACAGGAGAAAAGCCACATGTATGTGGGGTGTGTGGGAGAGCATACACTTCC